ATATTAGCTAATACCCCAATAAATTTTTGCAATTTGATATCCAAATTTTTGCGGGTCCCTGGTGTAAATTAATAAATTTTCTTATTTATAATCACTATAAATATTATAATATAAATTTAACTGCGGCTATTATACCTATTTGTATAATGATTATATTTACTAATACAGTACATAGTAATAAAGTCTTATTAGTTTGCAATATTTATCGTAATTTACTACATATTAATGCTAATTAAAGTTTATATTACAATATCTATTGTAATTTACTATAAATTAATGCTAATTAAAGTTTACTTTTTCTGTTGTAGCAATTTATATGAGCATGACAATTAGAACAAGTATATCTATGCTTAGAACTTCCTTCTTGATTTGAATTCTCATTAATAGTTTGTAATGGTCTTTTGCTTTTCAATTCTAATGCACTTTTTTGCCTTAAACTTGGTTGACCTTTAGTTTGTATAACATTTGAATTAGTAACTTGAATAGTATTTTCTTGATTGTTTTCTTGATCATTATCTTGATCATCTTGATTGTCTTCTTGGTCATCATCTTGATCATCATCTTGATTATTTTTTTGATTATTTTCTTAATCATTTTCTTGATCATTATTATTTTAATCTAGCAATTCATTAATATTTGATTTAGAAGTTGTAAATAAGACTTTTGAAATTTTTCTTTTTTGTTGAATAAACTGATAGCATCAATTATTTACTTCTTCATTTATTTCAGTTTTTATTGCTAAAGTTAAAATTGATTGTAATAATTCATAACTTTACCATAATGTATTTGATCTTGAAAAAACTTTTTATTTAGTTTTTTAAATCCTGAAGCTTTATATATAAAAGTAAGTAAGAGGTGTAGTAACTTAGTGTAGTGGTCTAGTTATTACTCTTTCCAAGTAGCAGGTTTAGAGTTCAAATTTTACTAGTAATGATTTTAAAAAATAGGCCTGTATATGGTTGACAGTAATCTATCGATTGGATCTAGATCAATCTGTAACTCTAATTACACTATCTAGTAATAGAAGCTTTGGCACAATAAATCCAGGAGACCAGAATAACTGAAAATCTATTTGGGAAGTTCCAAGTTTGGAGGTAGTAGTGATCTTTAATAGTATTACAGAAAGGCTGAATTCAAACTAGGACCTGAAATTGGAG